TTATTTCCGTTGTCCACAGACCACAAACTTGGGGGGGGGGGAACAGGTGGCTATGCTACTTGTGTGACCCAGGCAAAACAGGTGGCTATGCTACTTGTGTGACCCAGGCAAAACAGGTTACTATGCTACTTGTGTGACCCAGGCAAAACAGGTGGCTATGCTACTTGTGTGACTCAGGCAAAACAGGTGGCTATGCTACTTGTGTGACCCAGGCAAAACAGGTGGCTATGCTACTTGTGTGACCCAGGCAAAACAGGTTACTATGCTACTTGTGTGACCCAGGCAAAACAGGTGGCTATGCTACTTGTGTGACTCAGGCAAAACAGGTGGCTATGCTACTTGTGTGACCCAGGCAAAACAGGTGGCTATGCTACTACTGCGGCCCTGACAAACAAGGCCTGACGCATTCATTTTCAAAGTAGGTGTTTTTACGTCCTTATCGACATAATTTAAATTGTTTAGGAGGCGGGCGTCCAACCCTGCCTAGTAGGGCCAACCCGGGCTGAGAGGGATGCAACATCCTCTGCAGAAATTCTGAGATACTCGATATAATTTTTTTCTCTCCACTCGGGAATCGAACTCAGGTATCGTGCTTGCGGCAGCTAGCGTTTTACCACTACTCCACAGACACTAGTCCGAAGCAGTCCACCCCCGAAAAGAATCTAAATTGTGTCAACAGAGGCGCTAAAAATTGTCGCACTCGTCTGGTACCTGTCCACCCCCGCCAGTCTATTCCCTATTTCATATTCCCGAACCATCAATGTTGGCACGGAGTTTCCCAAACCTGATAGCTCCGCGTGGTAATTATACAGAGTTCGGAGCTGAGCACGGCGCTGAATTATTTGTTCTTCCTTGTCTGTTTGTTCTAATAATTTATTTCCCACAGCTGTCTGCTGCTGTCTCCTATTTCCAACATAGTCGGTGGGGGGGGGTTCATGCGCCATATCTTGTGCATCTCACCACGGTTTGTCTGGCTGTTTTTCATTTTCTACGAAGGAGCGCTTTAAAAAAAATTATAATCATATAGTAAACCGTTTGTTGTGGGAGAATGGGGTGTCAAGGCACGCTTCTGTTCTTTCAGCAAACTGTTTGGCGTTTTCGTTTTGTTCTGTTTCTTTTTTTGTTGTGTGTTATTTAGGATGTGACAGTTGTTCGTTTTTTGTTGTGGCTTTGTTTTGTTTTTTGTTGGATTATCTTTATTTATCAATTTTTATTTTTATTTCTATTCTTGTTTTATATACATATATTTATTTATTTATGTGTTTATTAATTTATTTATTTATTAATGTTCATTTGAGAGAGGGGCAAAATTAAGAAACATCTCTTGTCTTACAGCAAAAAATCTGCGCGCGATCCCTAGGTCCTTCTAATTTTGTAATGTAAGTCACTCTGCTAGAGGATACAGGGCCTACCGTGTTCCGGTGTATTCAAAATGTTGATCTTTTGAATAGACACCACCTCAAAAGAGGCAGTAACCATCTCGCTACGTATGTACACAAGAAACAAAACCAAAACAAAACAGAAAATGTGATGTCTTAATGGAAAAATATTGAGAGTGGCCGTAGTAAATTCCTACTGAAAAGGAAAACAGAAACGACCATTATAGAGAAAGTACGGAAGTTAAACCATCACGAGTCTGCCTAGCTTCTCTCGGAGACATAGAAGACGTATATCAATATTCCAAATAACGTTAGAACACGTTCTTAATGGCTAATTAATTCACAAACACACCGAGCAGAAAAAGAAGGACAACGGTGTCCAGAAAAAAGGATGAAGTGAGGGGGGAGGGGCATAGAGGAAAAACAAGAAAAAGCGTGCTGGCTGTTTGTTCCCTGGAAAAAGGTATGAAAATCAATTCCTTAGCTCCTGGTGGGTAAAGGAATGGCTATGGTAGTCGGCAAGCAGCAGTGAGGGGTCGTCGTCCGCACATGCTAGAAAGAATACTATCAGGGACATCTTTGGCCTTTGGGAAAACTAAATTAAATGCAGTCGAACCTGCCCTCGCGGCCACCCACCTGTATAAGATAATCACCTATGAGTTGGCCACTTCCAATAAACCTCCCTCAAGTATTATTTACATTATACGAGTAATGACGCTGTGTAAGACGCCCACTTGTCTAATAGTACGGCCACTTTTCCCCTCGACAATGAACAGCCGTCTTACACAGTTTCGACTGAAATAGTTAAAGTTGAGTGGGATCACAATCTCAGAAGAAAAAAACTCGTCAGGTTCAGTCTACATCAATTTTGATTTTCGAAATAAACACAAAAACCAGCTGGCAACGTTCTTTGTTGTAAAATGTTTGTCCGTAAAGATGAGGTAAGAATTGCCGTTTTTTCATTTCAAACAACAACCC